TCTTCTTTCTCTTCTTTCTCTTCTTTCTCTTCTTTCTCTTCTTTCTCTTCTTTCTCTTCTTTTTCTTTCTTTCTCTTCTTTCTCTTCTTTCTCTTTCTCTTCTTTCTTTTCTTTTCTTTTTGAGACAGAGTCTCGCTCTGTTGCCCAGGCTGGAGTGCAGGGGTGCGATCTCAGTTCACTACAAGCTCCACCTCCTGGGTTCATGCCATTCTTGTGCTTCAGCCTCCTGAGGAGCTGAGACTACAGGCGCCCGCCGCCATGCCCAGCTAATTTTTTGTGTTTTTGGTATCGATGGGGTTTCACTGTGTTAGCCAGGATGGTCTCGATCTCCTGACCTTGTGATCTGCCTGCCTCGACCTCCCAAAGTGCTGGGATTACAGGCATGAGCCACTGCGCTCAGCCCAATCTGGCCTTATTTATCTATATTTCAAAAAATTTTAATGTAAATGGATACATAGAAATAGGAATGTTAGATTTTGGTTGTAAGATGTGAATCAGAAGTTTTATTTGCTGCGTTTTAACTTAAGAATCCTTGTTTTTTTATTTTTGGTCACTCTTGGCTCTCCCAGGTGGTCACTGAGTAGCGGCTCCTAGAAGCAGTGCAGCTAGGGCAGGCCAGCAGCCGCATCTCTAAGGCATTCATTCAGATTTTCGTCTTCCTTGCTAAAAAAGCAGTTTTATATTGGGTACTGTATTTAGGTTGAGATCTTTAACTCAAATCAGAATTTGGTAGACATTTGTAATTAAGAGAGTTATTTGTTCTTTTTGACTTTTGTATAGTTATACAGGATTACTGGCCTGAGTAATAAAATAAGCAAGACACTTCCAGAAGGCCTAATGCTTCTCTTGATTCTACCCACACATTGCTTGAAAACAAGAAACAAAATTTCATTCTGGAGACACAGAACTTTTTATTTTTATTTTTGAGACAAGGTCTCACTCTGTCACCTAGACTGCAGTGCAGTGGTGTGATCACGGCTCACTGCAGCCCTGACCTCCTGGGCTCAAGCGATCCTCCCGCCTCAGCCCTGCAAGTAGCTGGGACTATAGGTGTGCGCCACCATGCCAGCTAATTTTTGTTATTTTTGTTGAGGCGGGGTTTCACCATGTTGGCCGGACTGGTCTTGAACTCCTGGGCGCAAGTTGTCTGCCCATCTCCCAAAGTGCTGGGGTTACTGGCATGAGCCACTGCACCTGGCCCAAAATCTTTTCTTTTATATTTTATGTGTTTAGTTTTGTTTACTTAATAATTGTACCTCAAAGGCATAATGTTTTAACACAGGAAAACCTTAATGTACAAAAATACTTCCAAAAGTGTTCTGATAACAAAAAGTAAGAGAAAATCTCCAGGTCTAGCAGCAGGAGAATGATGATGATGAATTCTCTTGAGGAAGTATTTATAGCCTTTAAAACTATTTGCAAAGATTGTCTAATAGGAAAAAGTGCTTGTGAGGGAATTACTAGAATAAGTAGTATACAAAATTTATGTAGACTATAATTCCAGTCTTTAAGAAAGTGAACACACTAGACATGGAAGACATCTAAGGATACATTTTTAAAAAACTTTTCTCAAGTGCCAGTTTAATGGACTCTAATCATTCGTCTTTCTATGCTTTAATCTACCTATGCTGTCAATCATTTATGTTAAAGACCATCATATCCCTCTTAAGTAATTATTTGCTGTGACGTTGTGAGGTAACTGGTCTGTTGAGATTAGTTGCTTGAGGAGGCTGAGTTGGCGAGATGATCTCTCTGTGAGCCATAACACGTAGGATCAAGGTGTGTACCACAGTCTGTTGTTTTCTTTGGGAGAAGTTTCCCGTACCAACAGATCAGAGTTAGAGAAAGCATCTGACTGGCCTGTAGGTAGGTATTTGGGACAGTGTTGCTTTATCTTCCATAGACTGTTTGGAAGCCAGTGACTGTTAAGGAAGTAACTTTGTACCGAACATAAATTCTGGACTGCAATTGATTTTTTTCAGGCCATTTATGCCAGTGTTCTTCCTGGAGAGTTGATGAGAGGGTTCATGACCCAGTTTCCCACCTTCCCGAGCTGGCTGGGGAAGCACTCGTCTACAGGCAAACACGATCGTATTGTTCAGGACCTGGCCTTGCATATGAGTCTCAGGTGGGTGGGATTACTCTGTTTCGGGTATTTTATCGATTTGATGTATTTGGCCTTTATCCAGTAACAATCATGTGAGTCAAAAGATTTGTGTTTTAGTTTTTATTTTATTGCTAACTAGATGAATGATGCTGGATAAGTTCCTTATATTTTATGGGCTGAGTTTTATCATGTATAATCAGTATAACTCTTGTTTTACCACTTAAAAGGATACTTTGGAGAATAAAATGGTAGATGTCATAATTTACAATTTTAAAGACTACAGAAGTCTGAGATGGCACTGTTATTGTTATTATGTCTATTACTAGTGGGAATAGCTTCCCAGCTTCAGAATAATTAATCGGAAAATAATTGAACTATTTAAAGAAACAAACTGTTTTTTACCAATTTTCTCTAGTAGTAAACTGACCTAGTCATGTGGGATTGGAAATAACAGTTTAGCATGCAACAGGAGGAGGCTGCTCACATCACTGAAAACGAATGTGCTTGGAAAAGTTTAAGGAAGTTCAAAAATACTTGCATTTGGTACAATTTTGTTGAACTTTAGAAACTTGGAAAATGTGCATACACATAAATATTATGGATTCTTCTTCTTTTTTGAGACAGGGTCACACTCTGTCACCCAGGCTGGAATGCAGTAGTGCGATCTCTGCATTATAGTGAATTCACAATTTGTAAAGTAAATTAAGACCTCCCTACTTTTTAACCCTGATCAAGTCACTGAACTTTTTTGTAGGTCTGTTTCTCTTCTTTAAAAAATGCAAGTGTGATCTTATTATTGGTTCGTAACCTTTTTGGGGGTCATAGGTGCTTTTGAGAATCTGAATGCTTTGATTTTTATTCCCCCGACAATGCATAGATCCACAAAGAAAACACTTTTGGGGAATTACAGATTCCTGAGGTTAAGAACCCTTGCTTTAGGTACCCTAAATGGCATCTTTGACTTTTCTATGAGTCTACTAGAAAATGATGATACTGTAAACATTGTAGGAGAACAATTTTGGAAATGGTTTCATGATTTTTGGGGGTACTGTGGTTCAGGGACCCACACTACTTCCTTTAAGTACTAGCGTGCTTAATTATGGAAGACAATGTAGAGGAAATGGATGAAATTGAAATAGGAGAGTTTTAAAAACTCTTTGTCTAGGTAATAGTTGCGAGGGTGAGTCTAGATTTCTGATCAGGAGAAAAGCTGTGGCTTCTTGTGGTTCACACATTCAGTTCCTTGAAGGCAGGAGCAGGACCGATAGATAATTTGTAAAGAATCATTTCTTTCTGCTTCTGATGCTGATTCTGATACCAACAGCTTTTGAGGTTGCTTGTTTAAAATATGTATACAGACTGGGCGCAGTGGCTTACGTCTGTAATCCCAGCACTTTGGGAGGCCAAGGCGGGCAGATCACCTGTCAGGAGTTTGAGACCAGCCTGGGTAACATGGTGAAACCCGGTCTCTACTAAAAATACAAAAAAAAGTAGCTGGGTGTGGTAGCGGGCGCCTGTAATCCCAGCTACTCGGGAGGCTAAAGGCAGAGAGCCTCCTGAACCTAGAAGGTAGAGGTTGCAGTGAGCTGAAATTGTGCCACTGCACTCCAGCCTGGGCAACAAGAGCAAGACTTCGTCTGAAAATAAATAAATAAATAAATAAATAAATAAAAATTTGTATGCATATAATTGCCTGGTTTGAAGATAGAGGCAGCTGGGTTGGAAAGATTTAGGATGGTGGCATTTGAAATATTATTTTGTTCAGTAGCTTTCTGTCTTTAAGAAGTGACAACATTTAAGAGAGAAAGAAAGTCATTTTATGATAACATTCTAGTTCTTAGCAGACCAGAGACTGTTTCCCTAAACCTTCCTCTGGCCAGTGTGGATCACTTTTTGATTTTGTGGGAACACTCTGCAATTTTCTTAGATTTGGGGAAAACCCAGTTCTAGAACTGAAGATTTCAGAGTAGCAGTATTAGGAAATGTGAGGGAAACATTCATATATGATTTTGTATGTTATAATCAGAGACCAAAAGGTGTTACACACATTCACACACTTGAGATAGGGAATTTCATTGCCTTCTACTGATGCTTTTAATATTTTGGAACTTGGAACGAGTCATATTTATGAACACAAAGAAACATTCTGTTGCCTGGGCCTTAAGAGTAGGGTAGAGTCCACATTTGTTTTTCAGTCACTGATGTGGGTAAGTAGAAAACTTCCTTTGGGCATGTGATGTGTACCCATTACCCTCATGCTGTGGTGCTGGGCTTTCCAAACTACACCAGCTGGCTGTCATATAGTACGCGTTCCATTCAGCATTATTGAAATCGGATTGAACTCTGCCTGATTAACTCAGTGCTGGTATGCACAGTATGACTTAAGTTGATACTTTGCTGTTGACTATGTCTTTTTTGTTGTGGTTTCAGAACTTACTCCAGCAAAAGGACTGTAAACATGGATTATCTGTCACATCTAAGGGATGCACTTGTACAGCCCTTGACCTCACAAGGAGTCGACGGGGTACAGGATGTTGTTGCACTTATGGACACATATTATTTGATGAAAGAAGACTTTGAGAATATCATGGAAATTAGCAGCTGGGGTGGCAAACCTAGTCCCTTTTCAAAGCTGGATCCCAAGGTAAATCATGTCACTCACTGGTTCTCCATCACTTTCTAATACCAGGTTTGTACTGACAGTACTTCAGAGGTGTTTTAGATGCTTTATCAAAAGATTTACTTCTTTTTCCCCTTAAATGCTTGTTGCTTATTATGACCTATATTTTCCATAGATACTATTTGAATGCAGTATTAAGAGTAGACTTCTGGACTGGACTTTACAATTTGTATTTTTATATTTGCTTTATGCTCAGTGGAAAAACAAGAAGTGAAATTTGAGGAGCAAATATAAATATATTCTTTATAAAGGGTGAGAAGATGAGCCTAGGGAATTAAAAGTTGAGCTGTGAGCTCTGGTGGTAATGGGTCGTAAAAATAAAATGTGTTTATTGGCTGAGGATTTGTATAAATTTTCTTTTTCTTAGTCTACCTAATCTGTGGATTCAGCATTTATTCCAGTTGGATAATCTTCCCTGTAATAATATATCCCCGTTTTTCTTATAATGAGCACAAAAAAACTAAAGTGATACATCATGAATATGTAACATCCAGTACCCAACTCTTGCACCTGTGTAATGAATGTGTTTAGAAGACTCAGTCTCTCTAGTTTGCCCTCTCCAGAATTTTGACCCGACTTTATGGTTATCAGTAAATTCTCACAGCAGACATCCATTGTTAGAATTCATGGACTAATTCAGGAATTATGATTAGAAGCTTGAAGGTAAGACTTTCAAGTTTCGTAGTATTTTGAAGTAACTACTATTATTATGGAAAAGGTATCTTGTGTTTTGTGGAAATTAAAGGCCAACTTACATCTTATGATGAGCTCCCCTCACTTTTTTCTTTTTCTTTTTCTTTTTCTTTTATTTTTTTGGAGACAGTCTCACTCCTTTGCCCAAGCTGAAGGGCAGTGGTACGATCTCGGCTTACTGCAACCTCCACCTCTCAGGTTCAAGCGATTCTCCTGCCTCAGCCTCCCAAGTAGCTGGGATTACAGGTGTGCTCCATCACGCCTGGCTAAGTTTTGTATTTTTAGTAGAGACAGGGTTTCCCCGTGTTGGCCAGGCTGGTCTCGAACTCCTGGCCTTATGTGATCTGCCTGCTTTGGCCTTGCAAAGTGCTGGGATTACAGGCATGAGCCACTGCACCCAGCCAAGCCCCTTTTTGATTTACTGATTCACTGACTAACTTTGCTTACTACTTTGTAGAAATGTGGAGAATGCTGAATAGGTAAACATGATGACTTGAAGTGACCTTTTGTTTATTTGTTTGCCTAAAGTTCCCAAATCCTTTTTTTATTAGACAGAATCTCACTCTGTCACCCAACTTGGAGTGCAATGGCGCGATCTCAGCTCACTGCAACCTCCACCTCCTGGGTTCAAGATTCTCATGGAGAGGTGTGAGCCTGCCCGGCCTTGAGTCTTTTTTGTCATGGGCTCTGTTAAGAATGTTATGAAAAATACGGAACTTATCCATAGAAAAATACACATACTTAGATTTACATGTATATACATAAATACTTTGCAAACAGTTGCAAGGGGGCCTCAGGGTCTCTTTAGGCTTCCAGAGATTAAAATAATTGTTTGGGACTTATATTTTTAAAAACTCCGTCTACTCCTTTCATGTAGGTGAAAGCAGCCTTCACAAGAGCTTACAATAAGGAAGCCCACCTTACTCCATATTCACTTCAAGCTATAAAGGCATCTAGACACAGCACAAGCCCATCCCTGGATTCGGAATACAATGAAGAGTTAAATGAAGATGACTCTCAATCTGATGAGAAAGACCAAGATGCTATAGAAACTGATGCCATGATCAAGGTAGTATTTTAAGCCACCGACAGGAGAATCTCAAAATAGATGATCTTTCCTTGCCTGGTGAATAATAGGGCCTTTTCAGCACACGGCAGAATAAATTGAAAATACTTCTAAGTTTTTTTGTTCATCATGGTTGAGGGTGGAGAAGGTAGAGATTTCATTTTTATAAACAGTTTCTTATAGTAGTCGAAGAGCCAAACGGCAAGAAAACAGGACATGATTTTGATGGCCATATGTTCTGTTAGAAAAAGTACCATTTTTATTTATCTGGCCATTGGTATATGCTTTCAAGAAAAATGTTTTTAACAAAACAGTTTCTTCTGTTGTGTATGTTTTGCTATAGCCACTAAACTGCTTTGTAGAAGTTTCTCAGAGCAAAATATTCTTGTCTTTTGATGGGAAAGATGAAAGCCAACTGTGGTATTAGCCTGCTGTTTACAGCTGGTTGAGCCAAGGAACCTCGTCCGATCCTCCTCTGTCCTTTGCTGGGTGTGGATGCTTCTTGCCTTTCATTTCTGTTTTCTATATGCAGGAGTAGGAATAGTGGCCTTCTTCACTGTGGCTCATGTAGACCCTAAGGGGTGGTCTCCCTCTCTCCCTCTCTTCTGCTTTCACAAAATGACTGTGTTTACACCTCTAATCTGAAACTAAAAGAAGAGGAAATTCTTCATCTAAACATTACCCTATTTGTCAATTATCTCTTGCTTATTTTGTCTTTTCTAAGTATACCTCTGTTCTAAATCCAAGAAACTGCCTTACATGGGGAACAGATCTTAGTTCTAAATTCTAAATACCCTCTCAGTTTTTACTGCCAGCTTTTAAAGGCTGTAAGTAGGGCAGTTGTTGCTTGAAAGTAAGCGCTTCATGGGTCGCAGTAGTTCAAGATCTCGATGTTTGCAGCCTCCCTTCTTTAAGTAAGTTGCAGGTAAAGATTAGATTTGTTGTAGAGATGAACTTATTTCATTTACTCATAAACACAGCTATTAACTATTTTGTTATTTTCTCCCTCCCCCTAACAGAAAAAGACAAAACCTTCAAAGCCTTCAAAACCAGAAAAAGATAAGGAGCCCAGAAAAGGAAAAGGAAAAAGTTCGAAGAAATGAAACCATTTTTCACTAGCGACAGCCACTTTTTACTCTCCCTCCTGACCAGTCCAGCTGGTCTAGAGAAAGCCTTGTTTTTTCCCAGAGCAACCATGTTTTAGCATAATGGGATGACCTGGTGTCCCATTATAAATAAAGGGTGGTATGGCTAGAAGGGTATGAGCAGTAGGCTTATGTACACCTCTTATAGAGGTTGATAGGACTGCTTGGGTCCTCCACTGTCCCTTGTCAATCTAGTTAGATGTGCTTTTGAATGACTGTAGAATTGGAACTAGAAACTACGCCTGGGCCTTGGAGTCAGATTTTAGTTAATGATATTGAGCCTGGGAGCAGTAGTACTAAGGCGTCTTTTGTAGGCTTAAGAATTTATCCCAATGGCCTTTATAGGACCAATGCTGATTTTTTTTAAAGGTAGTTCCTATTATGTGGTGAAATTTTGTAAATAAATGATTATACAAAACAGTCATCACCTAGAACTGGGTATTCTTTGTACATTGTCAGATATCTTTCAAAGTATAAATTAGGAATAAAAATGTTCCACATGATACATGTATAAATTCTTTTTAAGATTGTCATCTTGTACAGCAAAATATTATGTTGGTATATTACTTATTAATTTGCAAATGATTGGATTAAAAAGCTCACTGTATTCCTTACTCACCTGTTGTGTGAAACATAACATTGGCAGTCGAGGAGTCAGAACTTGGGATTCCCAGCCTCACTCCTTCTGTGTGTGCTGACCACATCTCTGCTGTGAATAGGATTTCAAGGAGAGGTCTGTTATGGGACTTTGCAGTGTGGGGGGCTGCAGAAGATTCTCAGACATTCTTATCCTTCTGGAGTCTCAACCCATCAGGTTCAAACCAGTAGGAACCAGGCTGGGTCAGGCTCTTCAGTTCACTAGGTTGGGGGACAAAATGAACATTGGCTTTCGTTCACTTTGCCCCTGGGAGGTCTAGTCCCGTCCTGTGATGGCTTCCACAAACCCTGTTGGAAGTTTGGGTTATTCCTATAACTGAATATATTGAGTGGCCCTGAGGCTGTGGACCTAGCCTAGAATTTAGATGTCTAGCTATTTTTTAATCTTGTTGGTAAATGCTCAGAGGTCTGTGCTACCTCTGTGAGGTATATACTAAAATGAATGTAAAATAAGGATCGTATTCCATGCTTTAAGGAACTGGTAGTCTTGTTTGGGTGATGAGACAAAGTTCTTGAGACATTTAAACTGTATTTACCAGTGTGAAAAATGTCCTTTTTGGAGATTAATTCATTATGGAAATAAAACATTGCCTAAGCCCTTGCCTGCTGAGTCACGACCCTGTCTTTGTTAAAGTCTGTCTTGAAACTCTTCTGGTTCGGGAAAGGTTTTCTCACCAGTAGGGTGAGACTGGCTTTCCTATTCATGTTCTTCCATTTCTATGCCTTTTGGATATGTAAGTCACGTCTCCCTACTTCTTCTGCAGCCCCCAGGAGAGGGACTTGAATCTGCATGCAGCCAGGACGCGGCATAGTGTCCTTCACTTGTTCATTATGATTTTGTTTATAATTTTCAATGTTTTAAACACAAGATTGGGATAATATGTGTCATTTCTTTTAGAATTAGAAATTGTAAATATGCCCTTTATGAGGATGGCATAGGTCTGTTTGATTCCTCTTTGAAGCCCTCGTGACCATGAGGTGAATGACTGAGATTCACGGAAGGAGGCAGTTGGTGGTACTGCAGCAGTTTGGATGTGAATTGGAATGGTCTGCATTGGGGTTGAGTCTTCATTGGAGCCACCAGTGATGTGGTCTTTTGGAGCCACTTGATGCCACATGGTATCTTTTCAGCATAAAACTGTATACTTGGATGGCCGAATAGGAGAAGCTCCAGCCTCCAGCTCCCAGTGTGAGCGGCACAGAAGACGGGTGATTTCTGCATTTTCAACTGAGGTACCGGGTTCATCTCACCGGGGTGTGTCGGACAGTTGGCGCTGGTCCGCGGGTGCATCCCGACCAGCGAGAGCTGAAGCAGGGCGAGGCATCGCCTCACCTGGGAAGCGCAACGGGGAAGGGAGTTCCTTTTCCTAGCCAAAGGAAATTGAGACACACAACACCTGGAAAATCGAGTAACTCCCACCCTAATACTGTGCTTTACCAAGGGTCTTAGCAAACGGCACACCAGGAGATTATATCCCACACCTGGCCCAGAGGGTCCCATGCCCACGGAGCCTCCCTCATTGCTAGCACAGCAGTCTGAGATCTAACTGCAAGATGTCAGTGAGGCTGGGGGAGGGGCGCCCGCTATTGCTGAGGCTTAAGTAGGTAAAGCCGCTGGGAAGCTCGAATTGGGTGGAGCCCACCACAGCTCAAGGAGGCCGGCCTGCCTTGGTAGACTCCTCCTCTGGGGACAGGGCATAGCTAAACAAAAAGCAGCAGAAACCTCAGCAGAGGTAAATGCCCCTGTCTGACAGCTTTGAAGAGAGCAGTGGATCTCCCAGCACGGAGGTTGAGATCTGAGAACGGATAGACTGCCTGCTCAAGTGGGTCCCTGACCCCTGAGTAGCCTAACTGGGAGACATCCCCTACTAGGTGCAGACCGACACCTCACACCTCACATGGCGGGGTACACCCCTGAGACGAAGCGTCCAGAGCAAGAATCACACAGCAACACTTGCTGTTCAGCAATATTCTATCTTCTGCAGCCTCCGCTGCTGATACCCAGGCAAACAGGGTCTGCAGTGGGCCTCAAGCAAACTCCAACAGACCTATAGCTGAGGGTCCT